AGGAGGCCCAGGAGATGACGATCCAGGTGTAGGTTTTCCTCAGCATCATGGGTCTTAACTATGTTTATCTCGGCCACCTGAGCAAGGGCCGCTGGGGGGCTGCAGGGGCCTGTTCACAGGTCCAGCTCGGTGGCCTACGTGTGATCGGCGAGACGTCGAGTGGCGCGCGAGGTCGACATGCCTTATTGGCCGCAGGAGTTGATGAGGAGCAGGACCAGCTACAACCTGGATGAGGACTGCCGAGCTCTGCCGCTCAACCTCAAGGAGCTGGAGCCAGGTCTGCCCGAGGCGGAGGACATTGGCCGCTTGGGCGCCCTCGAGTATGTCGGGGCCGACCTGGGGGAGTTGTTGACAATGCCCGAGCCCTCCTTGCTGCCCGAGGCAGAGTGGCCGTCTACGCCCCCCAGGGCGAAGGCCATCGTCGAGCGCGTCGAGGACTGGTGGTTCATCGCCGCGAAGCTGGTGGAGCTGGGACTGTTGAAGCCCATCGCTGCTGAGCGGGTTTTCCAGGATCAGGACAAGCGGGCGACCGCAGGGCTCTTCGCAGTCACGAAGAGTGACAGTCCAGGCCCGGGGGCCGCGAGGGTGACAACGTGGTGCCCGCCAACGCTTACCTGCGCCCGCTGGTCGGCGATTCGGCTACTCTAGTCCCTTCGCCTGCTCGGGTCAGCATATCGTCGCAGCCCGACGCGCTGTTGCTCTGGAGCGGGGGCGACCAAAAGGGTGCCTTCGTCGTGCGCAGGATTCCTGAGCCTTATCTGCGCTACGTGACGGCTCGCACCTTGGTCCCTGGTCGCACGCTCGGATCGCGCGAGGGAGGTCCTGGCTTGCGATGACGGTGCCGCCCATGGGCTGGGCGCGCAGCGTGCTCATTTTCCAGAGCACCCATCGAAGCGTCGCTCTGCTGGAAGAGCCTGCGGGCGCTGAGCTGGCGCCCTCCCGTGAATGGAAGGGGCCGCCTTGTTCCAGCGGCGGTGGCGGCCCCCCTCGCGTGCGATGGTGAAGTGCCCGCTGGGGCGCGCCCGGCGGTCAGCGCCTCCGCGGCCGCGTCGGTCGCGCCAAACTAGCCGGCCGCTGCGCGCGCGTTCCGGGGTCGGCGCGGCCGCGCAAATTCACCGGCCAACGTCAGACACTCATCGCAATCGCAGTCGCATGGGTTTGCAGACCAAGTTGTGGGCGGGTGGGTGGGGTGTTTGCAAGGGCGTGGGATGCGTCGACTCGTTTGTTAAATTCAATTGACCGCATCATTGATTGCGCACGCATTGCGCAACGTAGTTTCTTTTTTTTCTTCCAAAAATGCACTAGGGTCTAAAATTCCCCCCTTCCCCCCCTCCCGGATTTGACGATTCATCTTTTCGTTGTCCAATCCATCCTAAGTGTGAACTCGCACCATCCCAGCCCAACTGGCATCCGCCCCCCCCCCCCCGCCATCTTCTGCAATGCATATGTGTATATATATGTGTATATCTGTATATATAGCGCACTTTCTGATCAACAGTCGCCAGTTGTCAAGAGTCCCTTGCGCCAGATGGGACGAAGTGCACGCGCGCGCGTCGTCGCGCGCGCATGCCGAAATTTCCAAAAACGATCGGCTTCGCAAGGGTTCGAGCGTCAAAATTTTCATTACAAGAAGCAACTGATTGCCAACGCAGAGCTTGAGCGCGCGATCCTGCGCATTCTTAAGACAAACATAGGAATGTCATCTTTATCAGAAAATGTGACCAAACGGGCTTCGCGCGCGCATGTCGACATCGTTCGAAGGCCCTCGCGCGAGTGCTGTCGCGAGTACCCTTCGCATCAAGTGGAGCGAAGAGCGCGTGCCGAACTCCGTCAAAATCATGTCTGCATTCGCGGCGATGTCACAACCGAGTGTCCAAACAACTTACAAAACGCATGTTTCCGCAATCTCAGTCTTCAAAACCGAACATATCGTTCGCTCGCTGATCTGCGCGTTCTTAAGACAACCGTAGGTTTCTTGACATGTTCATGGGATGGAATCCTGCAAAACGGGCCACTAGCGCCGCGTGCCGACATCATTCGCGCGCCCTCCCGCGCGTGCGGGGGGGGGGGGCGCGATCCGTGTCGAAGAATGTTATGCGGGCCGCTCTCGCGCGTCGGCCGCGCGCGCATGTCGAACTCTTTCCAAAAACTTTATCGCCGACGCGGGGGCGCCGTCGCCGTCGTCGGCGCAATCAGCATCGGCGCCCGCGCTGGCCGCGCCGACGTCGTTGTCCACATCGTCACCAGCGTCGCTACTACCGTCATCGTGTCTACCGTTGTTGACGTTGCCATGGTACCGCGTCCGCCCAAGTCACCGACTCGCACTGAAGTGCCCGCTGGGATGCGCCCGGCGGTCAGCGCCGCCGCGGCCGCGTCGGTCGCGCCAAACTAGCTGGCCGCTGCGCGCGCGTTCCGCGGTCGGCGCGGCCGCGCAAATGCAAAGGCCAACGTTCGACGCCCATCGCAATCGCCGTCGCATGGGTTTTGCAAACCAAGTTGTGGGCGGTGGGTGGGGCGCTTGAAAGGGCATGGGATGCGTCGACTCGTTTGTTAAATTCAATTGGCCGCGTCGTTGATTGCGCGCGCATTGCGCAACGTAGTTTCCCTTCTCCAAAAGCGCATTGGAATCTCCCCCCCTTGAATTAACGATTCATCTTTTCATTTTCCAATGTGCATGTGATTCTGCCCCATCGTCCGTCCTAAGTATGAAGTCGAACCATCCCAGGCAGGCCGGCGTCCGCCCCCCCTCGTCTTCAGCAAAAGTTCTACGCGCGCGTGATCTTTCATCAAAACTCATCAGTTGAAGACACCTTTGCAACAAATGGGGCGAACTGCACGCGCGCGCGTCGTCTCGCGCTCATGCTGGAATCCTTAAACAATATTGTGGTGTCGTAAGGATTTCACAGTTGAGTGTCGTTTCGAACGGGTGGTTACGCAGCGCAGGCTTTTTTGTTTGTGAAAATAGTAGAAAGCTGCGCTCGCGCTGTTGCAGATCCTTAAGAAAACCATGCGTTTTCAAACATGAGCATAAACTGCTACCAAACGGGCCTCTCGCGCGCACGTGTCGAAATCGTTTGGGCACCCCTGCGCGCGTGCTGTCGCAAGAAGCCTTGGCAAACAACGGGGGCGAAGTGCACGCGCGCGCGTGTCGTCGCGCGCGCATGGCTAAATCTTTGCAAGATCGGGATTTCCGTAGGGGTTTCGAAGACGCGTACCCGAACACATTTGATACACATGTGCACATGCATGAAATGCAACCCTCAGGAGCTGGAATGATGTTTGAGTCTTTTGGGAGCGCCGCCGTTCGGTCCCGTGGGTGCGCGGCTCAAGCGGAATTTGCCGTTGCTTCGTTTCGCCCGCGCAACGGAGGCCTGGGGGGTGCTTTGAGCAGCGGCGAGGCGGCGTCGCCCCCCAGGCTTGTGGCTTGCCACCAGAGTTTCTCTTTGGTTGCGAGCCGGAGAGGCCGCGCACCTTTCGCGCCCCCAGCTGCCGCCGCCCAGATGGCCCTCCCTGCCGGGCAGTGCTGTCGGCATCAGGTGACCCATCCCGATGGGTCGGACGGCGGCCCGATCCTGGGAGTCGCGCGGCGATAGCTGTCGGACAATGTTGGTGGCGCAGCGTATGAGGTCGTGTACTTCGGAGCGGTCGAGGAACATGTAGCTCGGCGATTGGGCGCCTGCAGAGAGCGGGGCGACAAGTTCTGCCTGCATGTGCGCAAGGGCCCGCTCTCCACCTGCGGGCGCTGTCTACCGGGGCCCAGCATGCAGTTCTTGCGCGCGAGAGCCCCTTCGGACGTTGACGGCGGCACAGGCGGCCGACTACCGTGCGGAGATGCTGCAGGAGAACGAGGAGTGCCCAGGCACCCCGCGCGATGTGGCTCGAGCTGCTCTCGCGGAGGCTGATGCACCTGCTGCAGACAAGCCCGCCGCGGAGGAGGAGGCCCCCTGCCTGCCCCGCGCGGGCGGCCTGCGGCGGCCGGCGGGGAGCGCGCAGTCGTGGAGGTTGAAGCGGGCGGCGAGGACGACAACGAGGCCTTCGAGGAGCTGGAGCGAGAGTTGCAGGCGCTGGAGGGCATGGCCGAGTCCGCCGACCCAGGGGCGATGGGCGGCCACCACGCGCGCCCGGGCGAGCTGAGGACGCGGCTCGAGGAGTCCAGGAAGTGCGGGGCCCCTGGGGCCGCTGCCGCCAGCGCTGCCGCTGTGCCGGCCAGCAAGGCTGCCGGCGGGAAGAAGCTGCAGCTGGGCGAGGTGGAGGTGATCCAGAGTCGGATCATGGGAGCAGATCCGCGCCGAGCCGCGGAGGGCAGTGGCTCAGCTGGGCCCGCTGCTACCTCCTCAGACGGGAAGGCGGTCTTGCGCGTGTTGGCGGGTTACCTTCGCAAATGGACAGCGGGGGCCCCCTCGAGAGCGACGAAGAGCAGGTCGCGGGAGATAGGCCCATCGTTGCTCGCCGTCTCGCCTACAAGAGGATCGCCCCGAAGAGTCCAGGCCGCCTCGCCGAGAAGGAGATGGAGAGCATGGCTCAGTACTTAGACATCGACGAGGACGAGGATCCTGGGCAGGTGCGAGCGGTGGCCTTGAAGTTCCTCCGATCAGGGAGAGCGGCGAAGACATGTGCAGGGATCTGCGGACGCTGCGTGAATGTGCCGGCCTCATCGTCAAAAGCAAGCCCGTGCATGCCTTAGACTTTTGATTGCAGGGTCAAGGCTTTGCAGAAGTCGATCCGCGATGGCCACTCACATGCGGCGAAGTGGTTCGAGCTGGCCCCCCCGACGACGGCGGCCTCAGCTTGTCGGTTGAGGACGAGGAGGTTGTCATGGGCATAGGCGGCGGAGGTGAAGATGGCTCTGCTGCCGGGCCGTTCGGGGTTTCGCGGCTAGGGCGGGAGTGATTCGAGAGACGGGCTGGCTTGAAGAATGTGTCTCAGAAGGGCGGCCCAGCGCAGCGGGTCGGCCGACTTGCGGACTGAGCGGAGGGGCGGCGGCCGTCGGCGATGTCCAGGCCGCGGCGACGACGAGCCAGTGGAAGGCTGGCGCCGCCTCCCGCCTGTGCCGATCCCGCGGCAGCAGGGCGACGATGATCGGCTTCGAGATCCTCGCTCACGTGAGAAAGTTGCCAAGTAAGGCTGTCGGGTTAATCGGGCTGTTCCCCAGAGGCGACGCGCCACAATCGCCGGAGGCTGGTGCGGGACGAGATGTGCTGACGCTACCAGTAAGGGAGCTGGCGCCTGTACTGGCCTGCGAACGTATGAAGACAGCGAAGAGTGTGCTGAGTGGCGATGGGTCCCCTGTCAATTCGGCGTCGTGGACAGAGTTGCAGTGGCAGGGGGCCCAGGAGATGACGATCCATGTGTGGGTTTTCCTCAGCATCATGGGTCTTAACTATTTTTATCTCGGCCACCTGAGCAAGGGCTGCTGGGGGTCTGCAGGGGCCTGCTCCCAGGCCCAGCTCGCTAGCCTACATGTGATCGGTGAGACGGTCGAGTGGCGCGTCGGGAGCGTTCTGGAGGAGGTCGAGATGCCTTATTGGCCGCAGGAGTTGATGAAGAGCAGGACCTGCTGCAAGATGGATGAGGACTGCCGAGCTCTGCCGCTCGACCTCAAGGAGCGCTGGAGCCAGGTTTGCCCAAGGCGGAGGATATTTGCGGCTTGGACGTCCTCGAGTATGTCGGGGCCGACCTGGGGGAGTTGTCGACTAAACCCGAGGTCTCCTTGCTGTCCGAGGCAGAGTGGCCGTCCAAGCCCTCCAGGGCGAAGGCCAACGTCGAGCGCGTCGAGGACGGGTGGTTCATCGCCGTGAAGCTGGTGGAGCTGGGACTGTTGAAGCCCATCGCTGCTGAGCAGATTTTCCAGGCTCAGGGCAAGCGGGTGACCGAAGGGCTCTTCGCAGTCACGAAGAGTGGCAGCCCAGGCCCAGGGGCTGCGAGGGTGACAAGGTTGATATCCAACTTGGCGCCCACCAACGCTTACCTGCGCCCGCTGGTCGGCGATTCGGCTACGCTAGTCCCTTCGCCTTTCCTGAGCCTTGGCTGTGCTGCATGGCGGTGCGCACCCTGGTCCTTGGTCGCGTCCTCGCGGACGCGCGAGGGAGGTCTTGGCTTGCGATGACGGTGCCTCCCATGGGCTGGGAGTGCAGCGTGCCCATTTTCCAGAGCACCCATCGAAGTGTCGCTCTGCTGGGAGAGCCTGCAGGCGCTGAGCTGGCGCCCTCCCGTGGATGGAAGAGGGGCCGCCCTGTTCCTGCGGCGGCGGCGGCCCCCCTCGCGTGCGATGGTGACCGCGCCTGGTGGAGTACCTATGCTGGCGACGTCGACATTGGGGAGGTTCTCAACTGTGGGGCCGCGCTACCCTTGAATCGGCGCCCCTGGCCGCCTCCGGGAACAGATGGGGAAGAGCTACGAGAGGAACTGCGTCCCCATCAGCGTCAACATGGCTAACCAGCGGCAGGTCCTCGCCACTCGCATGGGCGTGGAGGTCCATGGGGTTGCAGGTAGGGCGGCAAACAGCCGAGTGAAGAACGCGCAGCTGTATAGCCTCGCCCGGTGGCACCTGACACGCGACAACCCCGTGCGAAACAAGCTTCTGGTCTTGTTGGGCCGCTGGGTGCGAGCGCCAGAGTTCAGGCGGCCCCTCTTTGGAGTTCCAATGCTGTCTGGGAGCTGGTCGCCTCAGGACGCGCCGTGCTGCCGAGGGGCTGCGTTGATGAGCTGGTGCGCGCCTGCATGCCGCTGCCCTTGGCGTCTACGACCTTGAGGGCGAGAACCACCGGCATCGTCTCATGCTCGGATGCCATCAGTGAGGATGGTGCTGGGATGTGTACCGCAGTTGGACTGGCGGAGGGGGCCGAAGGGTTCCTAGCCAGCCTCGGGGGCCCCGAGACGTGGGGCCATCGCATCGCTGGGTGCTCTGGCATGTGCGTCGTGGAGGTGCCGCCCGAGCTCAACGCCGTTGCCAAGGAGGAGCCGCGCGTGTTGCTTGTGAGCCTGTTCGACGGGATAGGCGGCGCGGCGGTCTCTCTGGTGCCAGCGGGGCTCACCATCGGCGGCCACATGAGCAGTGAAGCTGACAAAGGAGCCAGACGTGTACTACGATCGCGCTGGCCAGGACTGATCGGGCTGGGACCCGTGGAAGAGATCCAGGTGAAGCAATTCGAGGCCTTGAGTTTGTTCCAGGGTCGCCTCGTGGCTGTGCTTGTCGCTGGAGGCAGTCCTTGCCAGGGTGTCAGCGGAATCAGCGCTGATCGGCAAGGGGCCCACGGCGCTCGGAGCGGCCTGTTCACGCGCATTCCCAAGATAGTGCGCGTGCTGACCCAAGCGATGCAAGTACCTGTGCACTGGATCGTTGAACATGTATCTCCATGAGCGCTGAGACCCTCCAGGAGTTCAATCGAGTCCGCCAGCAGAGGCCCCTCAGTGCGTGCAACCCCCTGATTTCCGAGAGCCGACGGTCGCGCCTTTACTGGCGTTCGTGGCGGGAGGCGATCCTCCAGACCCCGGGGGCGCACGTGGGGCCCAAGCAAATTTACGGTTTCATCAAGTTCATCCAGGCCCCCAAGGCTTCGGCGAGGCCATGGGCGTTTGCGAGCTGCTCGAGAGCTTCGTCAGAAGGGCTGGTGTGTACTCTACTTCAGCGACGAGAAAAGAGTGCCCCCTACAAGCGCGCGGGCCTGGCCTCAGCTAGCTCAGAGGCTATTCAGAGGTGGTCCCAAGATCGACATGCATGCCCTCCTTATCAGTATGAGCTCGCGCACATAATCAGGGGGCCCAGCGGGGAGCTAAGACCTATGTGTGCCACCGAGAGAGAGGTCCTGATGGGCCGCCCCAAGCAGTGCACCTCCACTGTAGCCAGTTCGGGCTTCAGCCGCACCGCCGTTGAGTCCGAGCGCTGCAGCCTCATCGGGAGCGCTTTCGCCTGCGGCGTGGTGAGTTGGCTTTTCCTGGCGCTGAGGCGTGAGCTCGGCGTGGCGGCGCGCGAGGCCGATCCGCGGCGGGCCGCGCTGAGCTTGGAGTTGAAGGACCTGCTGGACGAGGACGTGGAGTTCTCAAAGGATCCCTTGCGTGATGCCGCGCTGGGCCAGAAGCTGGCGCAGATGTTCTGGGCGATCGCCAAGGGGCCTGGGAGCGACATCCGCCTCGACATGGGCGTGCATTCAGGCCGAAGGCTTGGCCTCGCGCTTCGATCGATTCAGCGCTCTGGAGGTGGCGCCCAACCCTGTCCTTCCCATGACCCAAGACAGCTCGGGAATTGCATATCAACGCGCCGGAGCTGCAGGCGGCCAACGCCTCGCTGCGGCACCGCGCGCGGACCACGACCTACAGCAGCGTCAAAGTCCTTCATCTCGTCGGCTCTCAGGTCGCGGCCTCGATCCTTACGAGAGGACGTGCATCTTCATGGGAGGTGCGCGGTCTGGCCCAGCAGTGCGCCGCCATCATTGTGAGCTCGGGTTTGTACGTGGGCATAGGATGCATCAACGCCAAGCTGAAACCGAGTGATCGTCCTTATTTCTATCCAAGAAATGGCGCCGAAAAGAGTCCAAGTGGCCCCTGACGGTGGCAAGCGCAGGAGCTGGCTGCATGTGCGTAACCAGTTTGGCACAAGGGGCACGCATTTGCGAGACCTGCAGATCACCAACCAAGCCCACCAGGCAGCGGTACGTGCGCTGTGCTGGGCTTTTGTTTGCTTGGTGGAGGGCGCATGATGTTCGTTTAACATCTTTGCATGAGGTTGACCGCAACTTCAGTGAGTACATCGAGGCTTCTTGGGCAGAGGTGGAGCCGCTGTACTCGGCGGTCAATGCCGATGCCGCGCCGCAGTGGTTAATGCCATCTCTGAGGGGCCACCGGCAGCACAGCTGGGGCCTGATCAGGACTACTCCTTTCGCCGCAGAGATAGTCGTGGCCCTAGTAGCTGCAGCCTTGGACTTGGATTGGTAGGGCCTTGTCATTTTCCTTATGATCGGGTTCGGTACCCTCATGCGGACTGGCGAGCTGCTGGCGCTGCGGCGGCGACATGTGCTTGTAAAAGATGATAGCGCCATCAGCCATATCGAGACATCGAAGATGGGTCTCAGAACCGGTTTATCGGAAGTTCTTGGCCTGCGAGATGGCGTCCGTCGGAAGGTCCGGAGAGCTCGATGTCTGACTCTTGATTCAGAGAACCTGATGCGCGAGATGAGTGCGCCCGAAGCGAGAAAGCATCTGGCCTTGCTGTTGCGCCTGTTTGATCTGCAGAATCGCGGTTTCACGATGTATGGCCTCCGCAGGGGCGGGGCGACCGCTCATTTCACTCGACGTAGGAACATGGAGTGTACTCGCTACTCTAAAGCAGGGCAGATGGATTTGCACAGAGATAGCGAGAATGTACCTTTCGCAAGCGGTGGCTGATGCGGTTGCGCTCGCGCTTCTGCCAAGCTCCAAGAGAATCCTTTCTGATGCTGCCCTGCGCTGGCGAGTGATGGCGAAGTCTTCGTGAGATTTAGAGCAGAAGGGTCGGCGAGCCGTGGGGGGGGGACGCGGCGGGCTCTCTGGTTGGCCCCGGGTGGGTTTCCCGCGCAAGGGCGGGCCCTGGAGTGCGCGGGGTCCCCGCCGTAATGGGTGGCCCTAGCGGGCCGCCCGTTGCGCTGCGAGCGGCCGTCCTCCCCGGTGCCAGCGCGGGCGGCGGGCGAGGGGCCCGCCCGTTCGACGCTGGTGCTGGGGGAGGTTAGAGACTCGCAGGTCGCGGGCTCTTGCCGGGCCCCCGGGGCCTTCACCATCGAGTTGGCTTGAGCCTCGCATCTCCTTACCTGCGGCGGCGCGTCGCCAAAAAGAGGCCCCTCAAAACATGAAGTGCAACCCTCAGGAGTTGAAATAATGCTTGGGTCTCTTGGGAGCGCCGCCGTTCGGCCCCGTGGGTGCGCGGTTCAAGCGGCCCCCCATCCGACCCCTGGCCGCCGCCTTATAGGTCAGGCTGTCTGGTTGGCCCTGGGGGGCTTTCCCGCTTAAGGACGGGCCCTGTGCGCGCGGGGCCCCCGCCGTAACGGGCGACCCTAGCGGGCCGCCCGTTGCGCTGCGATCTGCTAGCCTCCCGCGTGCTGGCGCGGACGGCGGGTGAGGAACCCATCCGCCCGACGCTGGTGCTGGGGAAGGTTGGAGACTCGCAGGTCGCGGGCTCTTGCCGGGCCCCCGCGGCCGCCACCGTCGAGTTGGCTTGGGCCTCGCATCTCCAAACCTGCGGCGGCGCGTCGCCCAAAAGAAGGCCCCCTGACAGTTATATCTATATATATGTACATAGAAAGAGAAAGAGAAATAGAGACAGAGAGAGAGAGAGAGAAACAAAACAAAGGACAAATATTGAAATAAAGAGAGAGAGAGAGAGAGGGAGAGGGAGAGACAGAGAGAGAGGGAGGGAGAGAGAAAGAGAGAGAGAGAGGGAGACAGAGAGAGAGATATACCAATGGTTTTGCTTGCAAGATCAGCTTTAAAATGAAAGCTTGCGCGCGCGGTCTTGCCGAATTCTTAAGACAGCGATGGTATTCAGCATTGCCATCACATTATGCCAAGCGGGCCTTTTCGCGCCGCATGTCGAACTCATCCGAACGCCCTTGCGCGTGGGCTGGGGGGGGGGGGCGGGCCACTCGCGCGCTTCGGCCGCGCGCGCATGTCAAACTCCTTCCAAAACTTTTTCACCGACGCGAAGACATCGTCATCGTTATCCGCGGGCGTGATCAACATCGGCGCCGCCATTGGCCTGGCCATCGTCATCGCCACCATCGTCACCATTATCGCTACTCTCATCATCGTGTCTACCGTTGTCGGCGTCGTCATGATACCGCGCCTGAAGTGCCCGTTGGGAAGTGCCCAGGGGTCAGCGCCACCGCGGCCGCGTCGGTCGCGCCGCAATGTGTGACCGTTGCGCGCGCGAGCATGCGCGGGGTAGCGCGGCCGCGGAAATGCACAAACCAACGCCGAGCACTCATCGCAATCGCCGTCGTTTGGTTTTGCAGT